GTTGAACCCAACGAGGAGCAGAAGGAAATGACAAGTAGTTTTCGGCAAGGTATTCTCTGCAAGCACTGAAATTATAAGTAACGAGTAGTTTGATAGCAAGGTAATTTGTAACGAGCAAGTAACCGTAACGGTAACAGAAGTGCATCAAGGTAGCCCAATCCTTTTGAGGCAAAGGACAGGCCAAAACAGTCTCTTATGATAAGCAAAGCGTTCTTGAGGGTACACGGGAATTTCATCTAGTCACTTTCATCATGTTGGTTTGATTTGTGTTTCCTACTTTGGTAATTTGATATGTGGGTGGACCAGTGCTTAGGTGATGCTCTTACTTGAACAAACCTCCTACTTCTGATTAACCTGCAACTACAAGAAAGTATTAAGAATAAATCTAATATTATTATTAAACTTTTGGATACAAATCAGCCCCATACGAAGTAGCGCATAATCGGCGAAGATTACCATATTGATATTCGGGCGCATGGTAAACATCAGTACTCCAGTGCATTTCGCCGTCTAATTCAGAATAAATATGCTTTTGCACCCTTTCTTTAAAATGTAAAGTGGACGTTCCGGCATGAATCTCCGCAATTACTTGTTAGTGAACAATAACTCAGATCTGATGTCAGATCGAAACAAAAATGCAAAAAGACAACACAAATGTAAAAGATCGAACTCTAATTTAGTTACTGAGTGAGATGTTTTGCTACCTACAAAAGGTGGTTCTTCCCCTACAACCCCTAGCCCTCCAAGGCAGTACTCTTCATCGGCAAATCCGAATGTCTCGATCCGAGTTGAGACCCACCTACAGAAATTGATCCATCAACGGCTTTTTCTATAGTGGCAGGAAGTCTCCAACTCTTCGATATGCGCTAGCTAGGTAATCCCTTTACTTAATCTGATATGGGATCTCTTGCTACCAGAAAGGAACTGAACTGGCTTGCCCGGAAAGAATGGATTGCGACCCTTGGAGCTTATGTCACTCTCGCAACCCATCATCTAATAACTACTCCACAATGAATTCCCTTAGGCCCAAGTATGGTGAAGTGTCATGTAGTCGACGTTCACATGACACCACTAAGGGAATCACAACATACATACCATCAAAATATCAAACACATATCAAGTTCACATGATTACTTGCAACAAGATTTCTCCCGTGAGCTCAAGAGCAAAAGTAACTACTCACAAATGATAATCATGCTCATAATCAGAGGGGTATTAAATAACATAATGGATCTGAACATATAATCTTCCACCAAATAAACCATATAGTGATCAACTACAAGATGTATTAACACTACTAGTCACCCACAAGCATCAAGCTATAGTTCCGGAACAAAGATTGAACACAAGAGATGGACGAGGGTTTGAGAGGAGATGGTGTTGTTGAAGATGTTGATGAAGATTTCCCTCCCCGAGATGGGAGAGTTGTTGGTGATGATGATGACGATGATTTCCCCCTCCGGGAGGGAAGTTCCCCCCGACGGAATCGCTCCGCCAGAGGGCAAAAGTGATCCTACCCCAATTCCGCCTCGAGGCGGCGGTGCTTTGTCTCGAAAGTCTTCCCCTTATTTTTTTTTTCTAGGTCGAAATGGCTTATATACCAGAAGAGGGGCACCAGAGGTGGGCCGAGGAGGGCACAACCCACCAGGGCGCGCCTGGGCTCCCTGGCACGCCTAGGTGAGCCCCTCTGGTACTTATTTGCTCCAACAATTCTTATTTATTCCATAAAAATTCCTCGTGAAGTTTCAGCTCATTTGGAGATGTGCAGAATAGGTGGCCTGACGTAGCTTTTCCAGGTCCCGAATTCCAGCTGCCGGTATTCTCCCTCTTTGAGTGAACCTTGCATATTATGAGAGAAAAGGCATTATAATTACTTCCAAAAGGCATTATTATGCATAAAAACAATATAAATAACAGTAGGAAAACATGATGCAAAATGGACGTATCATGGATTTGGCCACACTTGGGGCGCCCCTTGGCTGCCTCCCCTCTCCCCTACATATATATCTCTCTGTGTGTGTGTGTGTGTGTGGGAGGGGGCACCACACAACATCACAACAATCTCTTAGATGTGTGCGGCGCCCCCCTCCACAGTTTCGTCCCTCGGTCATATTTTCGTAGTGCTTAGGCGAAGCCATGCAGAGATAGCATCACCGTCACCACGCCGTTGTGCTGCCGGAACTCATCCACTACTTCGCCGTCTTGCTGGATCAAGAAGGCGAGGACGTCACCGAGTTCAACGTGTGCTGAACGCGGAGGTGTCGTACGTTCGTTACTTGATCGGTTGGCTCGCGAAGAAGTTCGACTACATCAACCACGTTAACAAACGCTTCTGCTTACGGTCTACGAGGGTACATAGACACACTCTCCCCTCCCGTTGCTATGCATCTTCATGGATAGATCTTGCGTGTGCGTAGAACTTTTGTTTTGTTTTCCTTGCAACGTTTCCCAACAGATCCGATCTGATGGGAGCATAGTAGACAAAGTCTTCCCTATCTTCTCCGCATCAGTAGGTTCCTTCTCACAAAAGCGTAGTTTGAAATATATCTTATGAACTGCATGATTGTACTCACCAATGGACTTGAAATCCTAAAGACGGAGATGAGTCCAATCATGGAGTGCTTCTGGCAGGACAACTGCCTTTTGTTGTTCATACCTCGTTTTGAGGGCCGGAAACAAAGTACTAGGAGACTCCTCTTGTAAATACTCGGACTTGAAATCTGGATGAATATGGTGCCTTATGATGAATAAAGCAACATAATTCTGATGTTCTGTCAGCAGCGTGGCTCTGGCTAGGTGAGGAGTCTCGGGGGCCTGGATTGCACGCGCTATCGCGCGGGACGCAAGACTGATTTATTTGTCCATGGCCCATGTAGGGTAATTGTGGCCAATGATGGCAAGCACCTCAAACTCTTTGGTGATCATCTTGACCTAGATGGGTGAACCAGAGATAATCTCGACCTACATGGGTGGCCATGTAGGGTAGTTCCTTCTTCAGAAAGGTTACTCCAATAGTAGTGATTACCCATGTGTTTTCATCAAGAAGTCCTTTACATGATTTTGCATCATTTCTGTGTACGTTGATGAACTCAACATCATTGACAACACACCAGACATTGATGAAGCACGCAATCACCTAAAGATGGAATTTGAGATGAAGGATTTGGGTAAAACCAAATTTTGCTTAGGTATTCAACTTGAGCACCTTCCCTCGGAAATCATGGTACACCAAGAGCGTGTTCAGGCTCTCTCCACTCCTCAACTCCGCTTCCGGAGCCCGGGGAGCGGCGCCGAACACTCAAACTCTTCGGAGCAAAAAATCTGGAGCAGAGCGGGCCGCGGTACAATTGCGCGGAGCGACGATTTCCAGGATCTCAGATCGTCAAAACATGGAGTTGATAAAATTTGCAAAAGAACTGCCACCGCCAAGTGAAAACGGTTTGAGTGGCCACGTCCGACTCGGTCGCTTCTGTCTCTCCTCGTGAATCGGGAGCGGAGCTGCCTCCCGAACAGTTTTTTCTGGCGCTATTTTTTAGCAGGAGCAGCATTTGGGGGAGGAGGAGTGGGAGTTAAGGATTCGGAGGAGCTGGGCCGTTTCTGAACACGCCCCAAGCTGCCTTTATCCAAAAAATACTGGAGAAATTCAATATGGACAAATCCTACCCATCTAAAGCTCCTATGGTGGTTCATTCTCTAGATGTAGAGAAAGATTCATTCAGGCCAAGGGATGATGGAGAAGAGGCGTTGGGACCTGAAGTTCCATACCTCGGTGTTGTTGGGGCGAGGCCAAGGGATGATGGAGAAGAGGCGTTGGGACCTGAAGTTCCATACCTCGGTGCTGTTGGAGCGCTTATGTATCTTGCAAATTGCACAAGACCTGATATTGCATTTGCAGTGAATCTACTTACTAAACACAACGCAGCTCCCACCAAACGCCATTGGTCTGGAGTGAAGAATATCTTTCAATATCTCCAGGGCACAAAGGATCTTGGCCTATTTTTCCAGTTCCAGAGAAATCGGACTCTGATATGATTGGATTCGTAGATGTTGGCTATTTATCTTATCCCCGTAATGCCAGATCACAAGCCGGCTTTGTCGGCTTTGTGTTCCTACATGGTGGTACTGTTATGTCATGGAAGTCTTCAAAACAGACTTTGGTGGCAACATCTACCAATCATTCTGAAATAATTTCATTATTTGAAATAACATGCAAATGTGTGTGGCTTCGCAGAATGATCGATAAAATCACCTACCATTATCACAGATGCAAACAGGATTCAACAAGAGTAATATCACTCACATATTTCTCCTAAGTGGTTTTTTCCCATGATCTTCAGAAAAACAGGGAAATAAACATTTGCAAGTTAAATCATGTGAAAAATCATTGTTTAAACATCACATTACGCTATCTCTCTTTGTGAGTTTATGTTTGAGGTTCTTATCAATGATTTTAATGAAGAGCTTTTGGAGAAGAATTCTATTGAGATGATGACAACGCCTGGACAATTATGAGAAGATTCTACATGGTAGAGCGTAGATTAGAGGAAGTGTTGTGATTAATTAGCACATGTAATTAGTGGGGAATCTTCCCTTGCCCAACCGTCATTGTGGTTCCTCGCGCAACGGAGGTCTCTCTCTCTCTCGTATCCCCTGAAACTGACGCATCCTCTCGGATCGTCGCGTCTCTCCAGTCCATATAAATTGTACTCCGTAACTCCCAATCAATAGAAGTTTCCATTGACTTCAAAACACAAACAAAGCATCTGATATGATGAAGGGATACTGCCTACTACTCCCTCCGATCACAAGTGTCGCCAATCAAGTCACGATGCATGCCAAAGCACATTCCAATTCAGACCAAAACATGCTTACTGATGACTAATTGAGAAAAATATCCAGAATAATTGTTCTAACCACAAATATCCATTGAAAAAATCATTACCAGACGTACACGGAATTCATGGCGCTAATCAACTCCGTCATCGAATCAGACCACCTGATCAATCACTGTCGATCTCTGGGCTCTGGGCCTCTGCGTAGGCGTAGGTGAGGCCGCACTTGCCGCAGGCGTGGCGGTCGGCGTGCGCCGCCATGAAGGTGCCGGCGCCGCAGTCCGGGTTGGGGCACTCCTTGCGCAGCCTCTCCACCTTGCCCGTGGCGTCGTCCACCCTGTAGTAGCCGAGCACGGCGAGCGGGGTCTTCTCGCGCTCGTGCTTGACCTTCTTGGGCGTCGAGTAGGTCTTCTTCTTGCGCTTCTTGGCGCCGCCGCGCAGGCGGAGGACCAGGTGCAGCGTCGACTCCTTCTGGATGTTGTAGTCGGCCAGCGTGCGCCCGTCCTCCAGCTGCTTCCCGGCGAAGATGAGCCGCTGCTGGTCCGGCGGGATCCCCTCCTTGTCCTGGATCTTGGCCTTGACGTTGTCGATCGTGTCCGACGACTCCACCTCCAGCGTGATCGTCTTCCCCGTCAGCGTCTTCACGAAGATCTGCATCTTGCCCTCGTTCGCCGGTCGCCGAGAATTATGACCTGTTTCGTCGGCAGCGGCGGCGGCGGCGGCGTGGATTGGGAGCTTTGGTTGGTCGGGCAACGTCGCGGCCCATGGGGGGTGGAGATGGGGTTATATGTAAGCCTGGTTCGTTTGATTGGCCGTCCGATACGCGACGGACGCCTGTGATCGAGCGGGTCTGAACCGACTCGTGAACGAGCCGGACACGGCAAGGACCCGTGAGACGGAGACCAGACCAGAGAAGTAAAACCAAAGCGGCGCACGCGACGCCTGAAACGGGGAGAGGAGAGAGAGCCGGTGAAGCGCGCGGCGAGCGGAGGCAGAGGGGCGCCGCGTTCGCCCGGTGAGAGAGACGATGTCGTCCATCGGCTCCTCTAACATCGGCTTCCAGGTCCGTCCCTCGCTTGGTTTCTTCTGCTGCCCATCCATCCTTCCCTCCCTCCCCTCGCGGAGGATTAGGGTTTGATGCTTTGTTGCCCTGCGTGAGCCTGATGGTCGTGTGTTCTTGGGTTGCTGCAGCTGCTGAAGAAATCCGGGTGGAAGGAGGGCACCGGCCTCGGTGCGCAGGAGCAGGTCCGTGTCTCTGTTCTCTTTTCTCTTCTCCCCGATCAAGATCTCATCTGTCCATTTTCACCCAATCCGTATGTTGATTTTAGGGATAATTGTGTTAGTTGTAGCATCGTACTCCCAACGCGAGGCTTAGTTCTCCTTGTTTTTCTATTCTTGGTACTAGATTATATGATCCATTGTGAATCAAATTGTTCTGTGTTTCTCCAGTGTTGTGTCTTATTGCTTATCTTTGAGATCATTGCGTATCAAATTGTCTCATATTGTGGACTTAACAAAATGATAAAGGGCGTGCTGAAATTAGTTTGGTTTCTGGGTAATGATCACAATCGGACAAATACAGCTAAATGCTTGAATTTGTTAACTATAAACAACTTACCTTTGCTTCTTGTATAATCTTGGTTCAGTTCACAAGCTCAGGAGTATGTGTCTAACTGAACACATCCATGGGTTTTAAAACAACAAATGCGTGGTTGGCCGTCTGCTGTATATAACAAATCGTGATTACACACTTGGTAGAAGCTTGCTTGTTGCTTATAATTGCCTAATTACTCCTGTATTATTTCTGTTTGTGTACTCACTTTGCCAAACTGTCATGAAACAGGGGCGGTTGGAACCAGTAGAAACTCGTGTCAAGAACAACAAACGCGGTTTAGGTTCCAAAGAACCAAAGCCAAAGCCAAAGGTCGAGGATGATGTTGAAACAGCTCCTAGTAAAAGACCCAAGGTGAGCAAAGCATTCTTGTTGACTTGATTCCAAGAACTGTTTTGTTGTAGTTCATAGGTTCCGCCGATTTCACAAAATTTGTTTACTACTACCTCCGTTCACTATTACAAGATGCTCTAACTTTTTCATGAATCTGATGTATATAGACATGTTTTAATGTGTTTATTCACTCATTTCAATCCGTATGTAGCTATATTGAGATGTCCAAAACGTCTTATAATAGTGAACAGAGGGAGTACTATTTACTGATTACAGATCCTTTGTGTGGTACTATTGAAAAAAGTGTATGTGTTTATATATAGTTAAATTGAACAAACGTAACATGTTATATTGGATGCTCATCAATTTCTTTCCGCGGAGTATTTGTAAGGTTTAGAAGATAATACTGATGTGTCCTTGTACATTTCTGCATCTCGAACCAGCGTACTTGTAGTCATCACTGATCTGATTTTCTTTTTTCATCAATATCTGACTTAATGCCACAAAATGTTGCTATTATCAGCAGGACGCGCCGGCAACGAAGAAGGCAAAGTTGGCCGCAAAGAGGATACGAAAGATGCAGGAAGAGGAGAAGAGAGCACAAGAGAGGGAATTCGAAATTGCTTTCTTCAGGGAATTTTGGCCTGATAATGTGTAAACCACAAACCTGACAGCGTTGCACCCGTTGGCATCAGCTGATAATGCCATTGTACATCTTATCGATGCTTCTGCAGTTTGCAACTGCTGTTCACTGTTTCTGTCTTTGTTCTGGTCCAAGTGTTGCATTTATTCAGCTGTAGATGTTTGTGCCCTGCAGAGATATGTTGTAGTAACTTGTAACAGACGTTCTTTGATTGTAGAAAATGTCACTTGGATTTTTTACTGCTGCTGGGGTAATATTAGGCACTAGCACCTTTGAGGTGTACCAGGCAACCAAAAACACATTTAAAAGCTGTGACTAGAGATGAACATATATACCATGTCATAAAATCTAAGGTCTGAATTCAATTCACAAATTGACAGACAAAATGGCAAAATATGGTGTAATGTAAAGAAAATGGGCAAAACATGAGTTGATTCTCACAAAAAATGATGGTATTTAAATTTTAGGAGTGAAGATTTGGTGCCACATGAGATGCCGTATTTTCATTGGTAAAAAAAATTACTCCCTCCGTTCCTAAATATAAGTCTTTGGAGAGATTTTACTATGGACCACATACGGAGCAAAATGAGTGAATCTACACATAAAATGCATCTTTATACATCTGTATGTGATCCATAGTGAAACCTCTTCAAAGACTTATATTTAAGAACAGAGGGAGTAGTTGATTTTGCAGGAAGCTTTATTTGATTTGAGTTGGTTAATTTGTTATTCCTTGTTGCAGAGCTTTTTTAGCTATCTGGGAAAGACAGAACATGCTTGGCATATGATAGAAGTTAGGTTGTCGATAACGGGGAGTATCATATACTAGTATCATGCATATTGTACTAGTGTCTGATACTACTCCCGTCATGCATAGTATAAGTTAGTACATCTCATGTTACCTTATTAAGTGTCATGTACTCCCTCCGTTCCTAAATATTTGTCTTTCTAGAGATTTCAACAAGTGACTATATACGAAGCAAAATGAGTGAATTTCAAAGAGATTTCAACAAGTGACTACATACGAAGCAAAATGAGTGAATTTCAACAAGTGACTACATACGAAGCAAAATGAGTGAATGTACACTCTAAAATATGTCTATATGCATCCGTATATGGTAGTCCATTTGAATCTCTAAGAAGACAAATATTTAGGAACGGAGGGAGTATAACACAAAGTAGTATACCATTTAATATGATACCACATTCTCTCTTTCTCCATTTTAATTGTGTGCCACACCATAAAAAAACCTAGTTGGCATGCTTGATACACATTCTCTTTTTCTCCATTTAATTGTACCACATCATAAAAAAAGTCTAGTTGGCATGCATGATATTGTTTATGATACTACCATTACGACCAACCTTAACAAACCACATTTATTACAAAAGGACCTGCAGTGACTGTGGTACATGACCAAGAGGCCAAAAAGCGCAAAGGAGAAACAGAAAACGGTTTCAGTATGGTTTGAAAGAATGCAGCAGAAAACTGTCACCTTGTGGTGTCAAATCTGTCTATACAAATACTTATGCATGTCAGGATAATGCGTTGCTTCTCAAAACCATGCCTAGCTACAACAGCAGCTATTGGCGCCACAGCACCGCGTCTGGCAGGAGCTCGACTCTGCTGGCTACCTAACAAAAAAGTGCCTCTTCCCATCATCATCCCCTCTAGAACGCCAACTCTTCTTCCTCTTGACCTGCTGTTTGAGGCAACGTGCCTGCTGTCGCCGCATCCCGAAGGTCCTCAGCCTTCTCGGCACTGATGTCGAGTAAATACTGCAACCTTGACAGCTTATCCTGCTTCGGAATGCTCTTCATGTACACGCAGTACAGGTCGTCAAGCTCTCGCGGAGTGGGCCATGACAAAGGCTTCGAAGCAGGCACGGCAGCATCACATGCGAGCAGGTCGTTCAGTGATGAAATCTGCATCAGATACGAAGCAATGAAAAATTTCACCACAAACTTCAAGAAATCTGCAGGAGTATAATCTAGCAGATGTTATTATACCTATATCTCTAGGAGCAATTATGTAAATTTAACAAAACAAGCAGACAAGGGGCACACGGTACGTACCACACCATCTCTCTTCTTCTGCCGAAGCAAAGCAACAGCCTGGACAAGGGCGTTCTCCAACCTAACCTTCGCAATGTCCTGAACAATCGACCTGGCCTTCTCAGCACTTATGATAAGATCAGCTGGCATCTTTACATACACTTCCTCTTCATCAAATTCACCTGTGCCTGATGAGAATATCTCCTCAGCACACTTTTTGTAAATGGTTTCTCGCAACGGTTCTGAAATCAAGCTGTCCAGCTCGAAATTTGCATCTTTCAATCCTCGGACCTGCTGTATACCAATCTGTCCCCGCGATATAGAAGCTTCAATTGCACTAGACAACTTCGTCGTTGTGATGCTCTTAATGATTTTCTGTGCATGCTCAGATGGCAAACCAACCTGCTTCTGTATCGTTGCAAGCTGGTCAGCCTTGGATTCTGTCAACTTCCCATCAGCTAGAACCACTTCAGCCTGTTGCACAAATGCTTTTTCTGCCAGCTTAATGTGGACATCTTGAGCTTCTTTGCGGGTTAAACCAAGTATGTGTCCCAATTGCTTTAGCATTAAATACTCTGAATCGTCTTTCTTACTGGAGATTGCTGTCCCGAATGAAACATTAGTAGTCTCCCCGGTGATACAGAACATCAAATATGTTTGATACAGCTCAGCTCTATCTCTCAATGGAAGATCATCCTTGAGGGTTATCTCTTTCTGACTTGACTTGCCCAGCTTTTCTTTTAGCTCTTTATCAGGCCTTGTCTTCTTTAATGTTTCCAGTGATTCCCATTCATAGTCCTCATCCTCACCCTCAGATTCAGTCGTTTCAGGTTCTGTGGTCGCACTTGATGTTGCAGGTTCAGCAGTTGTTACCTCTCCTTTAATATCAGCCAAAAGTTCACTTACAACAACTGTGTTGAAGGAAATTAACTTCTTCAACTCTTTTGCCTGTTCAATGCGATTCCCAGCTGCTTTTGCTTTCTGAATGTAGTTCAGGAATAACTTCCGTACCTG